CCGGAACACAATTCACACGGAGAGCGTCCCAGTGCCAGGTTCCCTTGGCCACGCCGCTTCTGGGACACGTGGGAGGAGGCAATGAAGAGCCCAACATGCTAGCAATTTTCGGTGGCAATGTCAAACTCTGCGGTGCCAGCTCCTAGACAGCACGAGAAGCAGGATGAAAAGACCGAGGGCATCACACTCGGACGCCGCAGGCCACACAACTGCTTCCACACGCTGTCCTACGCGGTCGCGGCGGCACACACCTGGATGGCACACATGAGGGGTCTGGAGCTGCTAGCAGCTTGTTTTAGGTTCTTCCCATCTCACATTAGCCCTCTTCAGAGCCGAGGCTAGATGAAACACCCACAGGGGCCAGGGTGGGGGGAGATGGCGGTGTCAGCAGGAAGGTTCAGGGGACAGCGGGAAGTCATAGGGCTGTAATGAAAGGCCATACAAAGAGCACAGCCCCTCCGCCCCTGCACAGCCCCTCTGCCCCTGCTGAGCCACTACATTTCATCCAAAGCCATTTGGGGAGAAGGGTGACAGGGAGGTGGACATGCAAATCAGAGGCACAGTGGCTGAGGCGGTATAATGTGACGGCGCTTCCTAAGGAAGGGGGCGGGAGGGATTGGGGTGAACAGCCCCCGCCTTCCTGAAGAAGTCTCTGGATTTCTACTTTGGGAAATGTGGACAGCATCAAATGCCAGGGCAAAAGTAGCCAGAGGCCTAGAGTTGGCCGCTAAAGGTGGCCAGCCAAGTGTATTTCAGAACGCAAGGCAGCCTCCTCCCCTGGCTTTCAGGAAAGGCTCTACAGGTGAAAATTAACCAGTGATGATGGTAGCAGAGACCTTGGTCCCGGCTCTGGAGAACCACGGCCCTTGAACGAAGTAGCTTCTGGGCTGCTCAGGGACTCACCAGGGTTGCTGAGCTCTGCCTGGCTCCATCCAGCTACCTGCACCCTTAGTCCTCGGTGCTCGAACCCAATGACAACTGTCTCAAGGACGAAATGGCAGAGGGAAGTGTGGTTGTGGACCCACCCTGAGCTCCACTCAGTCAAAAGAGCAGCCCCAGTCCACCCGGGAGCTGCTGGTCTCAGATGCAGAACAGGGAAGTGCTGGCGATGCAGAGACTGTGAAACAGGGCAGAAGCCTGCTGCGAGACACTGACACTCAAACACCGAGCTCACTGCCACACAAGCCATGCCGACTCACAGTGCCCTATAGGACAGGGTTGAACTGCCTCTGTGAGTTTCTGAGACTGTAACTGTTTACGGGAGTAGAAAGGCCCATCTTTCTCCCTTGGAGAGGGCTGGTGGTTTCGAACTGCTGACCTTTTAGTTCACGGTGTTACACCCCCAGGCTTCTCAAGATACTAACACTAGGCAGACCAAAAGCATGCTCACACCCACTGCGTGGGGAACACACAGCCCAGGACAGAGTGAGAACAAAAGTGAGGGAAGAAGGTGAATGAGCCCTGGCACTGGGACTTGGAGGAGAAAGGAGGAACCCGCAGCTCAGCAGGACACCAGCCGGAGCAAGTCCACGGGGCCAGCAAAGACAGACAGACGGGCTGCTCAGTGTGAGGGAGTCACTGAAAAATACCAGCTTGGCAGATCAGCCTCACTTTCAAAAGGACATTCCGATTTCTCCAAAGCAGAATCACCCTTAAATAATTAAAATTGAGATACCCTTCCCACCGCCCGCCACTCACACAGCCCCCTTCCCACCGCCCCCCACTCACACAGCCCCCTATAGGGAAACCTGGAGAGAGAAGACTGAGCTTTCGTTACCCCCACTTTTCCAGCCCAAGGTCAAAACATGCAGTCACGATACATGGAGGATTATTGGTGAGAGGAATCCAACAGCTGCAAGCCAAGAAGACAACGACCGTGCCGACAGAACCAAAACTGGTGACCACAGGACAGAATTTTGCAGGATCGATGACTTATTCATTGAAAACACCATGTTTTCAACAACATCAACGTCATGTGTGGGCCTCACTGGATGGAATACACAGTGATCTGATTGACTCCATCTCTGGAAAGACCCGATGAAGTTGCTCAATATCAAAGTGAACAAAGCCAGGGGCCAACTACAGGACATTCCACCAACTGCTGCAGTGCAAGTTCAAGTTGAAGCTGAAGACAAGAAAGCGAAAACAAGTCCACAAGAGCCACAGGGCGATCTCTCGTCTAGGACCCCTGGGTTTAGACACCACCGTTTCAAGAACAGGGCTGACACAGTGGATACTGGTGACAGAAGGCCAGATGAGCTGTGGGAGGGCATCTAGAACATCACCCATGAAGAAAACAAACGGTCACTAAGAAGATAGGAACGAAAGAAAAGGCCAAAGTGGGACCCTAGGACTTGCTCTTCGACAGAGAGTTGCTAAAGCGAGTGGATGAAACGAGGTAGTAAGAGACCTGAACAGAAGATTTCCCAGCCTGTGTGATCATGAGGTGTCGATGGCATCAGGTATCAAAAGATCCCAAACAAACAACTATATCGATGCGAACAAGGGGGTTTGGAGTGGAGACCCAAAGCCCATCTGTAGACAAATGGATATCCCCCCACAGAAGGGTTATAAGGAAGGGATGATTCGACCAAGGTGCAGTATAGCCCCGACGAAACACACATCATTCCTCTAATTCCTGAATGCTTCCTCCCCGCCACTACCATGGCTCAGTTCTACCTTACAAATCTGGCTAGACTGGAGAACACACATTGGTAAAGATAAGAGCTGGAATTCAATCCCGATAAACCTCTCAGGTGCAGTAGTGGGAGTGGTGATATCATGAGGGGAGGGGGAGCCCCCTCCAGGGGATGAGTAACAGAAATGTGGGTAAAGGAAGACAGCGGACAGAGTAAGACATGAAGTAATAGTAACAATATATAACTGATCAAGGATTCAAGAGGGTGAAAGGGTAGGGGGGAGGGGAAAAAGAGGAGCTGCACCAAGGGCTGAAGCAGAAAATGTTTTGGAAAAGATGATGCCAACATACGTACAAACATGCTTGATACAATTGATGTATGGAATGTTCTAAGAGCTGTAAAAGTCCCCAATACAATTATTAAAAAACAAAACAAACACACACACACACATCTTTTTTTTTTTTTTTAAAGGCAAAGTAAAGCATTATAATGGAATGTGCAAAGACGTGGAGTTAGAGAAAAACCACCAGGAAAGAGCGCTGCTCAGCGAACTAAAGAAAACCTGCAGCCTCTGCTCACAGTACCTGAGGGCTGTACTGGCAAAGTGCCGAACTCCACCAGCACTCTGCCAAGAACTGGGTGGCATACAACCATCTCAGGAGGCAGCACAAGATCAAGAACCCATGGTGCCCAGGGAACACGTGTGGGCTACACTGAAGGCATGGCGAGCCCAGGATGTGAAAGAAGACCAGGAAGATGTTTCACCAAGCTGGATACCAAGCAAGCCCGTGTTTCCCACAGTGGGCGACACCACTCCTGCAGGGTGCTGGAACAATCTACAGAAGCAGATACCTACACTTTATTCTGGGTTATGGGATACAGTACAAGAGTTTTTAATTGCCAGGGTAATTTTTTTTTCTTTCCCCTGAAAAGGGGGTGGTAGGGCAAATAAGTTTAGGAACCTATGGTCCAAGCCAAAAAATTTGGAAGGCCAACCGATTGGCAGAAATCCGTATTTGTACCCATTTCTAAGAAAGGAGACCCAACAGGAAGCTGAACATTATCAAACAATAGCATTAATAACACATGCAAGGAAAATTCTGCTGAAGATAACTCAAAAATGATTGCAAGAGTGCATCAGCAGTGATTTGCCAGAAATTCAGCCAGGTTCAGAAGAGGGCATGGCACGAGAGATTTCACCACCGACATCAGATGGATCTTGGCAGGAAGCAAAAAATACCAGAAAGATATTTACTTGTAATTTATTGACAGTGCAAAGGCATTTACCTGTATGGATCATACAAACTAAGGATCACATTACCAAGAACGGGTATTCAGGAGCCCCGGTGGTACAGCAGTTACGTGTTGGGCTGCAATCCCCATGGCAGTTTGAAACCACCAGCAGCTCTGAGGGAGAAAGACTGGGCTTTCTACTTCTACGGACACTACAGTCTCGGAAACCCACAGGGGGTCGCTATGCGTCAGCACTGACTTGATGGCAGTGAGTTTTTCCCACAGTATTCATGTGCAACCTGTGTGTAGAAGATCACAGAGCAGTTGTTCACTTGGAACAGGGTAAAATCAGGAAAGATGTGGGACAAGGTTGTGTGCGCTCACCACACTTATTCAATCTGTATGCGGAGTAAATCATCAGAGAAGCTGCACTGTTTGAAGCTAATGGCAGCATCGGGATTGGAGGATGACTCATTAACCACTTCTGGGTTAATGACAACCATGCCACCACAACCATGCCTGCCAAAACCGAAAAAGACGTGCACTTATTGATGAGGATCTAAGACTACAGGATGGATGATACCTCAGTGTCAAGAAAACAAAACTCCTCCTAACTGGACCAATAAGCAACATCATGCTAACACAAATTGAAGTTGTCAAGGATTTCATTTTACTTGGACCTACCAGAAATCAAAGAACATACCGCACTGGGTAAATCCGTGGAAGAAGGCCTCTTTAAATAGTGTTCAAAAGTAAGATGTCAATCTGAGAGCTCTGACTCAAGCCATGGTATTTTCAATGGCCTCATGCAAATGAATGCTGGACAATGAATGTGAAATACCAAAGAAGAACTAATGCATTTGAATTACAGTGTAAGCAAAGAATACTGACTACACACACACACACACACACACACACACACACACACACACACACACACACACACACGATGGGTTGAAACACCACAAGGGCAGATTTAGGGAAGGTTGGTGCGGGGCCCGGCAGTGTTTTCTTCTGCTGTGCAAAGGGGAACTATGAGCTGCAACCTACTCCACAGCATCTAACACGTCAAAAAGCATTCAGGGAAAAAAGCTGCCGTTTAATATATGTTCATTTGAGAGCCATTACCTCTTGATCTGAGTCTTGTCCTTCCTTCAGACTTTTCCCACTTTTCCCTGCTTTTGGTGGTTCCTGGGAAGCCAAGCAAAATCAATTAAGGGGAATGTTTCAGTCTCCAGGTTCTAAAGAGTGGATACATGAAACGCAGTTCTCACAGGACTTACACGATTTAACCCGTGCTTGTTAGTGCTAATCAACACCCATCAGTGTCTCCTCAGAAGTAAAATATTTGAGATTTCATATCCCACGCCAAGTGGCCTCCCAATTCCGCTTTCTCTCCGGTTTTTGCTGCATGTGGGCTTGAAAACTTCAACCTGGCACCCCCGATCTCATAACCAAGCTCTTGGGGGCATGTTGATCGATTTACATACCACCCCATTCCTCCCTAAATTCTAGTGGTGGGGGGGCGGCTTCTGAGGGTGATCCTGAAACGCCACCTGAAGCGAACACTTCACCACCACCACCACCCCGAAGATGCAAGCGCAGCGCGTGAGCCAGAGCATCGCCCCGCCGCCACCTGGGATAATAATAGTACCTTGTGCCCCGGAGCTCCCGCTGAGGGCCCCGGGATGACGCGGGGTCCTGCATCGGCCCCGGGCGGCCACAGCCCCGGCCCTGGAGCCCCCGCCCCGGCAGCGCTGG